CACACTGGGACAAGAGGTTTTCTAGGGTCTGAAAAACCCCAAATGCTGATCTGTTCTATAGTGCTGACATTACATGTGCAATGAGAAATCTGCAACTTGTGTAGATGTGATTTTATTTTTAATCCCACTGAATGCTTTTCTGTTTATTTTCATCATCCCTGGAAGCCCTTTCCTCAGCTGCTGTGCAGAGTGGGAAATATTTCTGTAGTGAGCAGCAGCAGCAGCAAGTGAATGAGGGGGAGAAGTTTTGCTCTCAGGTGCTTGTTGTCAGGGACAGGTCTGTGTCCCTTGCTGAGGACATGTGGCAGCCTTGCACACGCTGGGCTCCTGTGTCTCTGCCTGCTCCTCCATGAGACTCTCGTGGCATCTGTGCTCTGAGTGCTGACTGCCTTATCCACCCAGCCCTGCCTTTGTGCTGGCCTGGCTGCAGAGCACCTGAGCACCCAATGTCCCAGCACCAGGTCGGTCCTGCGACACTTCTCAGGCACTTCTTGGTTGCTGCAGACAGCCTCCTGCCTTCAGAAATCAGCATGCAAGTGTTTAAACATGGCACCAAACAGGGAGAAGATCTGATATGTGAAAATAATTGATGGATTTGTGGTAAAAATGAGGACAATGAGAAGCTACCTGACAGATTAATCAATTATAATCTGCTAGCTGTGGCAGAGTGAAGCTCTGTCTTTTTCCCAGAGCTTTGTGTGACGCTTAGCATACATGGGAATTGTTCAGGCCAACAACAATGTCGTGAAGAATTTGATTCTGTAGAATCTCTGAATTTGTTCAAATAAATAAATTTGAATATTTTCAAACAAGGAAATTGTTTTATTTGGACCCTTTTTTTTTTTTCTGGTCTAACCTGAGATCTAATTGGGATTTCCAGTAAACTGCATCAATTCCTGAAGGCGTGGTTTTCCAAGAATCAAAAGTGAAAGCATTTATTACTTCCTCTGTTTTAGCCTTTAACACTAGGGTTTTGTTCACTCCAGATTCATTTTGCAGCTAGGTTTCCTCTTGGTTGCAGTGGTCAAAAGGTAACTTAAAAAATCTTTTGCAGGATTTGGAGATGCTGGGTTGCCAATTCACGTTTAATGAAATGAGTTTTTTGTTTTTGCAGTGAGTCAGGGAAAATATCTTTAATTTTCAGGCTTAGCTCAGATTTTGAAGATATTACCACAGTGTGCTGTGCTCAGTACCTCTACAGGAGAAGACCAGGCTCTAAAGGTAGGATTTTCAGAAAGTGATGGTTTAGGAGCCAGATGCTGCTGGTGCTTACAGGATGTGTAGGGACCAGAAATGAGATAGTGCTCCTCTGCAGGTGGGCTCAGGATCTTGAGTCCCTGTCTGTCCACCACCTGTTATTGAAATTATTGATGGATTTCTGGCCTGTTCAATCAATCAGGTGATGTTGTCCTGCACACTGTTGTTTGTGAAGTTGTGTTCTTCAGTCTGTCTCAGTGTGTGAGTACCTTGTGTTTGGATTTTCTCCAGTGCTGTTCTCATATTTCTTAAAAAGGTTGCAGTTCATAGAGAGCTGTCGCTGTACAGCTGAGACAGAAGAAATTGTCACCTCCCATTCTTGTGCATCACCATATGGCATCCACAAAGAGAAAGACAGGTAAGAAGATTTATGTGTGTACCTTCTCAGTGGGTTTGGAATGTGCTGTGTGGGTGGGATTTGTGCTGTGCTCGTGGCAGAGATGTTCCCTCAGTTCCCTCCATGAGAAGCTGTAAGGAGCAGTGAGGACAGCTCAGTGGTG